GTGTGGTGTGTGTGGTGTGTGTGTGGTGTGTTAAAATCATTTAATATGATATGGTGTCCATGCGCCAGCGCAATTTAAGCAATGTTTTACACACCTTAAGTAAGCAAGATTTATCTTGCTTAAATTAAGCAATATTGTTTAATTAGACATTGCTTAATTAAGCTTGAAAGTTAATTAAGCAATATTGGGCTCTCTGGGTCCCTCGGAGGGGGATGTTCGGGCTTTCGAAGACGTCTCCGGGACTGACGCCCGGGGTGGCCTGGTCCTTCCTAGCCCTGATCGAACTCCCAGTACTCTTCCTCATCGAACTCGTCGTACGGCTCCCAGTGCTCATCTAGCCCCCGGAATCGTGACTGGGGTCACCACTTCCACGCGGGCGATCCCGGTCTCCACTGCTGCGGGCGATCCCGGCTGTCCAAGCTATCACGTCGATCTCTTCGATCATCTCGGCGGGGATCTCGACGGTCATAGCTGTAGTAATCATCCCGGCGATCCCGGTCACGACGATCATAGTCGTAGTCGATCCCGGTCACGGCGATCATACTCGCTGGCCTCCCGGCGATCCCGGTCACGAGTCGGCGCGCGGGAACGCCTCTCTTCTCTTCCGCGTCCTGCTAGACGCTCCAGGTCCTCGTTGACAGCTCTCAACTGCAGAATAGTGGCCTCCTGCTCCGCGCAGGTTTCAAAGTTCAGCATTTTCCTGCTCAAGCTCATCCACCCGCCCGATCCAAAATCATTTTGGAGGCCTCAAAGGTGAAGGAGAAGCCGTTCAAGACTCATCTACACCCATACAACAGGGATGGACCAGTCCAGAGCGCCTTAGGGGAAGATTAGGTATAGGAGAAGGCGCGATGGCCCAGGATGACGGGCAGGACATCCTCAGATGGTGTGGAGATGAAGGGTCAGAGTATGGTAGTGACGAGGAGTTTGAGATGGTTGACGAGTATGAGGTTCCTGAGGTGCCCCCGCCGTACTCAGAATCAACTACAGCTCAGGCAACATCCTCAACCGCTCCTTTGCCCAGTACATCCCATACACCTTCACCAGAAGGGACTACAGAACCCAAGGAACCACCTTCGGCCAAAGGGCCCATCAAACCGCCGCAACCCATCATGTCGAGAAGACAACTCAAAACCGTGCTGCGTGGTTTGCGTGAAGTTGTAGCGGAAGATCGGTTCCTGCAAGCAGTCGCATTACAAGCCACCTTGGATGATATACCGCACTTATGGCATCTGCCGCAGGTCAGCACTCCTGCTGACCTTCGAGAACGCTTACGCCATCGTGCGGAGGAAGGTCCCCCAGGCTTGGTCCTCATCATACAAAAGGATATCAGCAAAGAGACTCTTCTCGAACTGCAGTGTATAGGTGATTTGGAACATTTACTGCAGTGGTGATTACCCCCAAAGATCAGCCTCAGCTAGAGACTCACATCGACCTAAGGGGAGATTTGCAAATATCAGGGATAGGTCCTGAGATCACCAGAGTTTTGGATTCTCAGCTCGTTTGGTCTGAGAGCTCATGCGGTTTTACCACAAAGTGCTATGAAGATGTTCATGGAGAAGACCTTATGGCCATTTTGAAAAACATCTCAGAGATGGTGTATCTAGATGGCTTTGCCAGAATATGCTACCCAGCAGAAATCCAAGAAGACGAAGATGAGGAACTCCTTCCTGTAGAAGAATCCTCTAGGTCCTGCTATCCAGCAGAGATACAGGGTGATGACGATGAGGAACTCATTCCAGCTGAAGACCTCCCAAATCCATTATCAGACGGAGTTCCAGACAAAGACACCCCCATGCAACACGTTACTCCATTCGATGATGGAGGGGGCGCATTCATTCCTCAGGAGAGGGAACAGCTTATCCTTGAGGAAATGGCTCTCCCAGGAGCGCCAAAGGAAGAGGAGGAAAGACGCCGATCATGGCGGTTGCCGCCTCAATGCACTCGGGTAGCCATACGTCGCTTGCGCAAGGCCTTCGGACATCTCCCAGGCCACGTCCTGGAGGCCGTACTGCGCCGTACATGTGAAGATGCAAAACCTAACCCACGGCATCATCCGGTTGGTGACCCCTTGCTATCCTTGCAACGTCAAGAGTCAAGAGTTTAATCATACTCTCGGCGCAGATGTGCTAGAGTATGGAACATCGTTCCAGCAGGCGATCGTGCTGGTGGAAGGCGGAGGACAACCAACCTCCAACGCAATCCTGCGTGCGCGACAAGATCACTGGTTCAGCTGGGCAGGCTTGCCCAAGCGCTTCGTTGCCGATCGAGGCGCGCCCTTTAAAGGGGCATGTGCTAAGTACCTGTCTCAGCAGGGAGTTCAAATCCACTTTGCACCACTTGAGACGCCCCGGCAAGGTGGAGAGACATGGAGGATTCCTGAAGGCGACTCTTCGCCGTGTGGCCCAAGAATCCCAGATAGAGGGAGTGGATGGAATCAAAGAAGCACTATCAGAGTGCGTGTCAGTCAAAAATGACCTCACTCGACATCATGGATACAGCCCTTCCCAACACGTCTTTGGCAAGGCGCCTCGCCGACCTGGATCAATGCTCGACGACACAGAGGACTTGGGCACGCTCGAGGCCATGACAGATGAAACCAGTCCATTTTGGACCTGCTGTCAAGCGAGGGCAGAGGCGAAAAAGGCATTTCTGCGCTTGGAAACGTCCAAACGTGTTGCCAAAGCACTTGCGAAGAACGCCGCCCCTGTCCTTTACGACTATCAAATCGGAGACTTATTTGTCTACCGTAGGGACAATGTGCCCGGTGTATCGGGAACGGTATGGAGTACCACCTCCAGAGTGATCGGCAAAGAATTGGAATTCTTCCTTGCAGAGGTTCGCCGAAAGGGTGGTGGACAGTGATCCAGCTTCAGTTGCAGCTGGTGTGGTGGATGCGGTCCTTGCTGGCTTGCAGATCTTCAAGGAGCTCCCCGGGAGCACATCGTCCATGGATGATGTGCGAAGCTGGCTCTCTACACATCGCGCAGTTGTGGCCTGGCAGGATTTGCTGGCTGCCCTTGGCCAAGCCAGCGACCAGAACTTTGATCATGAGCGTGTGCTAGAGCTGTTCAACAAAATGAATCCCTTGCGCAACCATGAGCCCGAGGAGGCCAGTCGCTTCGACAAGCCTGTCTACCAGTGTTCGAGGATCTTGGCGTTGGGCCTTTGCGAGAAGGCGTCGCGGGGGGGCAATTAAACCACTAAACTATCTCCCCGTGCGAATCCTGAGTTGTAAGGGGCCTGGAATTCTACGAGCAAGGTCAGATCAGTGTAATGTAATCTAATCTCTGCGTGGCAGTTTTGTATAGCGCGCGCAAGCCTGTGCAGGCCTTGCAGGACAGTGTGCCTGTTGCGGAGATCATTGGCGTCGTGCCAACCTTCCACGGCTTGGCCCAGTTTGCGTTTGCCGGTCGAGTTCTGGAGTTGATGAGGCTCCAGGCGTCGCTCATCAAGAACGCCGTGCCGATGGCGACCACGGTGCAAAAAATCAACGTAAAGTTGGGCGAGACGATGGAGGCGAGGTTCAACAACGACGCAGGCTGCAGGTACTTGGGCTATTTGCGTCAAACGCGCGCGTCGTGCCAGGAGATTGCAGCCTCGGTCAAGGCAGCATGACCAACAAGCAAGGCTCGGAAGCCCCCTACACGCTGTTCGTGAAGACAGACTTGCCCCTGAGGCTCCAGGTCCTCATCAGCAATCCGATCTATGAAGGTGTTGTGCGTGCCGGAGCGAAGAACTTCGAAACGAAGTTCAAGACGTTGGCAGGTGAGATGACCGCCGTGTGCAGGTATATGCGCAGGTCGCGCGAGAAGTTCTGGCGTGAGGACCTCTCGCCCAATGCGTCCTTAGCCGTCGCGACGGCCCTTGCGGATTCGACTGTGTTCCAACTGCAGCCTCAGCTGCGCAAGCAACCTGATCCTTTCCTGGCTGTGTCTTGGCTTCTGATAGCTCGTAAGTTCTTAAGCAAGTGTAACTGTAACTGTAACTGCTCTACGGTAGGTCACAAGAAGTGAAACCCTCAACCCTAAATAAGTGTCATTCATGAAAATCGTCGTTGATAGTTGATTTTTCGTAGTGCTAGCCGAGATGTTCGAGGTCATCGCTGCCTTCTGGTATGATGAATGTTGTACTTGTCTGGCGCGCTCGCGCGTCAGAGTTCACTTCTACCTGTCAGTTGTAGAGCACTTGCTGTGGCTCTAGTTCTTTCGATCTTTCTCAGTCGTTCAAGTCAAGTAGTGTGTTTTACTACGGCTTCAGCCAGCCAAATCAGTGTCACACATACCCGCCGCAATCCGTCTGCGTTACTTCAGCATCCTTGAAAAGCCCCAGCAAATTAATTTTATCACGACTCGACTCACAACAGAGCGAGCCAAACCAAGTGCTGCCTCCGCCCGACGCCCAACAGACCTTCATGAAAGCCATGGACCCTATTGAATTGGCCTATCTCTTCTAGCAAAAGCCCACTTCTGAAGCCCAACGCCCACCTGAAACCAAGTGTGCGCGGAAGCGGAAGGATTCTCGGACCGATTTTGTGAGAATCGCGACGAAATGGAATTGCAGGATGTCATGAAGACTTTGCTCACACGTGACGTCGCCGTGGTGTGGTGAAGCGTCTGCACATGGTGGTTGAGAGCCTGATCTTGGTGGCCGTGTTGGCTTTGCACGGAAGCAGCGAAGCTAATACGCAGAACACCATGCGCAAGCAGCTGGAATCCTACGACCAGCTCTTGAACGACAATGTCTTCGACTTGTGCCGCAATGACACTCACCCAAGCATTTTGAAAGAGATGCGTGAAATCCTTAAGTAGCTTCATCCATTTCACAGGCGCCTGCAGACTGCCTGTAGCAGCGTAGCAAGCCTTGGACATTTTGACCACTGTGCTTGTGCCCAACCTGGGTTGTTGCCTTTTTGGGGGCGGGGCCGGGTGTTGAACTGTATGTTTCTGTCTCCATGTTTGCCAGGTTACCATTTTACCGGTTGACGGTTAACGGTTAACGCGTGGAGTGTAGAGTGTAGACTCCAGACGTCAGAGGGTAGGCAGCATCCTGACAAATAGATGTACGCTTCCGCGTGCAACTACTTCAGGCAGCAGTCTCTACGACGAATCTGTGCGCGTGGGGCCCCGTTTTGCACAAGTGAGGATCCACGCCGGATTGCGTGAGGTCTTGGGTCTTAGCTTTCTGCAGCCAGTGACTGTGTAGCAGTGTAGCACTTTTGAGCTCGGGACGGGATTGAGTGGCATGAACAAGACCGGCCAGTGTCCAGTAACTGTCAACTTCAACATTCAATCGTCATGACTCTGATGCGGGCCCATACACATGTTAAACCCAAACCCATCTCACTAGGCCCTATGGCCTATGCAGTATCACTGCAGTATCCACTTGTGGCAAGAGCCAAGAGCTTTACGGTGAACTAGAAGCTTCGTTCCCGCATTGTATCACGTAAGCGCAGCTGTGGTCCATGTAGGGAAAGGCTAGGGACGAGGGTCTAGAGGCTGATATCGACTCCTGTGGCGGGCTGGGAATTTTTGTCCTGGTTGCCTCACTCTGGCCGCGGGGAGTACAAAGAACAGTGGAGTCTTGTGGCCTGCGATCGTGTGCCTACGTGCAGACCATCTTTGATGTTGCGAGCTTGTCAGCCAAGAAAAAGAATCAGTCTGCAGCTGGTTGTTTATTGACGTGCGTGCCAGTGCAATCCTGTGTTGATGAACATTATCCGACATCACTGTTAGTTAGTTAGTTAGTTAGCTAGCTAGTTAGTTAGTAGTACTTAGTGTATTTAGTGCACACACTCAGTATTTCGACCATCTTCGCTACCGCTACGGCTAGGGCGTTCTCATCCAGATTGCCATGTGTTACACCTGTTGTGAATCATGACAATACACTCTTCCGATGTATTGCAACGGCACAAAGAAATCAGCCTGCGTTGTCTACATTCATCTTCTCACTCGCAGGTGTGCGATTTTGTGAGTAGGTTCAGTAGGAAAGAAGCAGCCTCCCGTGCTTTGTATTCATCTGCGTGGTGATTGGGACGTGCGCATCAGCCTTGTGAGTGCCGATGCATTGCCGCAACGCCCTGGGCCATAAACTTCCTAAACTACACCCCATATAGCAACAAGGGTACTAGCGGGTAGAGCTTCAGCCTTGTACTGCGTGTAAGTGTATGGATTCCACTTCAGCTGCTCATGCAGCTGATGTTGATCCTGATAGTGACACTGACTGATTATGATGATGCTGCCGATGTTGTTGCTGAGGCCGATGCTGATGGCAAGAATGCTGGTGATGGCGACAGTGATGCTGCCCGTGCTGCTGCCAGTCCAGGTGCTGCTGAGCTGAGGATGTTAACGCTGATGAGGACGATGCTGATGTTGGTGCTGCTGCCGATGCCCATGCGATGTCTAACGAAGCTGCGCTTCTCTCGTGAACTAGTGACTAGTGCTGCCAAAGGCTTCTTGTGCGCTTGCTAGCAGTGACACGGCTGCGTCTATAATTTTTCGACACAGATCCCAATGCCGTCTTGTAACGGCGCTGCGCAGGAGGAGGACTCCCCTCCACCAACATGTTAGAACAACGTCACGTGGAATGACATCCCAGAAGGAGAATGACAAAGAAAATGGCAGAGTGAATGACACCCCAAATGCTATTCAAAATGCCGAACAATTATTTTCCTGAAAACCATATCTGGCCGGTAAATCATCTTGCAAGGGTGGTGATCGTGCGGCGATGTCCAATCACTAGCCCCCTTTTGCACAGCTACTGGTGTACCCTTGCGGCTGGTTCCGAAAGATTGGCATCCACGAGCTCATTGTGACAAAATGAATCGTCCTCGTGGGTATGAGTGCCCTACAGTCACATGTCTTCGGGGGTCAGGGTGCAGAGTTTTGGGTCTAGATTTGAAGGTTGGGGCTCAGGATAGTGGTTTGAGCAAGTGCACCGACTAGGTTTAGGGTTCGGGGGGTAAAGATGTAGGTTTTAGGGACCAGCGTTTAAGCTTGGGGTCAGGGTTTAGCAGGTTGAGGGTAGGGTTGACGGTGTAGGGTTTAGCATTTGGTTCTGAGGTTGGGGTGTAGGGGGCTTGGTGCAGTGGGGCGGGTAGTTGTGGAGGGAGCAGGAGGCTGGACTTAAAATCGCAAGGAAAAATGCATTCTCGAGCTGTGACTTTTATTGCCGTGTGCTATAGTTTGCAGATTGACCGGAAGAAGTTGGTTTGGCACGGGCACCTTTGTTCAGATCATCACCTTTCACAAGTGCACTATTTTGAGTCATGCTCGGAGTGTTCACAGCAAAATTGGTCGTGCAGCTTTTGCGCTATATGAGCTATTGTCAGTATTAACATTATCAAAGGACCCTTAACAGTGGACGTAGGGGGCGTTTTTTAGTCCAGTATAGTCCCACATACAAAAACCCCATAATGCATCTGTTGTGCACAATCTCTTATGGCCCAGTAAGATTGGAATTCACCAATCGTTCCGAACATGTGAAAACAAGTCAGGCTGCAAGGCTTTGGCAACGCAGACCTGAAATTGCGAAGGAAAAAATCCCAAGTTCACAAGATCTTGAGTTTGTCGGTCTTCGAACACTCAAAGTTCTCGGTCTGGAAATTCTCGTTCGCGCGCGCATGTACAGACTATTTTTATTCAGTTGTGCAGGTGAGCATGCAACCCGAGACTTGCGCATTTGAATTGTCGGATTGCTCTCATGACTGGTCTGGCTTTGGGGATCTCTTTGGCAGAGTGTTGGGCGTATTTTGCTTGAGTTTCACATTCGATATCAAAATATCAAGAAGGGTAGCACGGTTGAGGGGTTGTTGGCGTGCCACGTCTCTGATCATGAGCTCAAGTCTCGTTGCTGACAATTTGCTTGCATGTCCGTTGTGCACTTGGAGGAATTTCAAGTGGAACAGTCAGCAGTTTCCAAACATGCCGTTGACGAAAGGTGCTCATTATGCAAATGCAAGTTTGTTGGAAGGTGTTTAGAATAGATCCTCCAGAAGAAGGCCACGTACGAAGAGACGTCAGAGACCCGGAGCTGTGTGCAGAGATTGTGCGTCGCATCCCAGCTTCTCCGTAGTTTGGAAAGAGTGGTGCTGCAGCCAGCCTTTTCACCTGAGCTAACTTGAGAATTTCTGAATGTGGCCTTGCACTGCTCAATGAAGGATGCCTGATGCCATGTGGCGTCCTGGAAGCCAGCGTGCTCATGGGAGTCCGTAGCAAGGCTTTGGTCAGGGAGCCCTGCTATGGCACAGGTAAAGCCTCAAGGCATAGCCAGCGACGACAGATCCTGCTCAGCTGAAGAGCCAGCACCAACTACGGATGGCCAATCTAGTGCGGAATATGGGAAGGGCAAGCCCTGTGCCATCAGGCAATTCGCTGAAGAAGCTTCAGCATCACGCAGCGAGCAGGTGCTGACATCTCCCAGGTAGTTGTTGGTCAGGAGCCATGGCCGGAGTTCTGGCAGCGTATCATTATATACTCATCTCATAGTTGACAGTAAGCCTGCAATACCACAACAGGCAGAAGAGCCTCAAGAGCAGAGGTGACGAGTGTGCGCGAAGTTTGTTATGTTCCTGCTGTGCTTCTGGGCACATTGAGCACCCTCAACCAGTCTGGAAAGTAGGTCCAGGATCCTACTTTGAGACCAGACAGCAGTTGCTGTTCGCGTTAGCCAGATCGAGGGCAATTGCCGTGACCCAGCCTTGCAATAGCTGCCTCCAGAGAGGTATGACACATTGCTGTGACCTGGCTGCGTGGATGCAAGATACTATGTCTGAAGCAAATTGAAGCGCTTTGTCATCATGGGCAGTAGAACATGGACAGCTAGGTCAGCTAGGAAAGATTGTTAGCATGCTCCTTAGTTGGCGAGCTGTTTTGCCTTTGCAGCATGTCATGCCAGTTCACCGCACAAGAGCCGCACCCAACGGCTGCAATATTGTTTGCCTGCAAGGTCCCGAAGGACGTCTCGGCTGGCCTTAGACCTGGCATGAACAGCACCTTGCCTACACCATCTCTGCTATCCTGACACTGGTGCCTGAGAAAGCACAAGGTGTTACTATCACTATTGAAGATGAGCATCCATCCAGCTACGCCGTAGCTTTGGCCACTCCGCAGCACTTCGAATCCTTTGTGTGTCTTTGTGCTGTACTTGTACTTAGCTTGCTTGTGGCTAGAGGCAAGCTGATCCAACACGTCAGGTCCATACCCAGCCCAAAACGGCGTCACTGATTGCAGACGATACTCCGGCTTGTGAGGAGGATCTGCCACATTCGTGCTTCAGAGAGGTTGCTCACACAACTGTATGCCTTTGGAAGATCTTTTCGATTCCGGCTGGTGTTGTGTTTTACCTCAGTTGGAGCGTAGAGTGCGGCTTTGATATGCCATTTTGCAGCCCCACATGCTGGGACCAACAGCGTGAAAGTCAGTGAGAGATACCATTGGCCATGTACTAGGTGCCTAGCCAGATTCTTGGTGGGTCCGACAAGCAAGATGCGGTGAAACGACATCCTTGGGGAGGGGGTTCTCGACATTAGCCAAACCCCGCACAGCCCTAGGGATGTGACCGTGCAGCGATTTCCTGCTGAGCTACAGGGTGGCTGCTCTTCACTTTAGCTTGGCTGTTTGTAGTGTATTGGCCCTGCAAGGAGGATGCTTTGCGAAGGGTCCGCATGCTCTTGAAAGACACTTGGTCTGGTCCTCAGAGAGGTTTAAGGCTTCATGAATCAAGTGCTGAATTCAGGGGCATCAAGATGGAGGAGTTCGATCTGGGACCCAAGCCAGAACCTCCTCCAGAGGATGCCCCAGCAGAGCCCGAAGCAGAAGCTCCTATGCCTGATGCTCCCAAGCTAGACGACGATGATGAGGAGGCATGGCCGCTGTTGTCTGGATTCATCTCTCAGTTTTGCACACTTGGCTCAGGTCACTTGTGTTCTTTCGAACAAACTGAAGCTTCGATGCCCTCTTTCCTTCGAGCGAGTTAAGGGCTAAGACATCCCGAGTTTTCTGAGACTTGCGGCCAGCTCTGTGCCTAAGGTCGATATTCCTGTCAGGGGTGAGACGTGTATGTCTGCCTGGCGCAGATTTTACGCTTTTGACCTTGAGAGTGCATTCGTGACTGTTGACCACTTGGGTTATGCTGGGCTTGGGCTCAAGCTCTAAATTTTTACCGAACCGAGATGAATACTGTCAATTAGTCGAGTCATCTGATCCGTTTTTTATGTTTTCGCTGCTTTGATCTTTGAGCCACGTCGACGGCAGATATGATGCTTCGGAGTTCCTCAGCTAAGGTTGAGCGTGTACATTTTCTGTTCTTTGCAAACAATCATCCGGCCATTTCATGGCTTTGTGGCGTGCCAGACTGCTTTGCTTGCAAATAGCCGCTCCAGGATGCGCTGGCATTGGACTATGCCTGATGATGGCTAACGGTTTGGAAGAGGAGTGCTACTCAAGCGAAGCTCAGGACTGCCAAGATTGCTAAGGGAGGGATGTTAGTTAATTTTTCATTGCGTATCTGCAGTGGAGGAAACCTTGGTAGTTGCTAGTTTCATTTTCTAGGGGTGGCACCGCCTTGAGGAGTTCAACTTCCTTCAGATGCAGCTGTCCTTGGACTCGGTGAATGAGGCTTCTTTTCGGTCAGCCATATTGACAGTGTGTTAGTCAGAATGTTCACATGGCCTGCGAGGAAGATGGTATCATTGATACCATCAAGAGCATCTTCCAGGGCAACGCAGCAAAATCCAAAAAAAGGGCAGCTGCAATAGTTGAGAAGAAGAAAAGCTCGAACATGGAAGCTAGCAATGCAACGGAGAATGTCACCGACGTCTCCAACGCCTCCAATGGTTCCAACGTCACCGACCACCTGAAAGAGGTTCATGAGCGGCTGGTAGTCGACCGACGTAGCCTGGACGAAGCAAGAAATTCTTGCATTCTGTGCCTGACCTTATCCTGTGCAAGGCAACTTCTCACAGCTATTGCATGATTTGAGCCACAGCAAGAAGGAGTTGGCTACAGCAGAGGCTTCGAAATCGTGAAGATCGCTGCGAGCAGCAACACTGCTGTTGGATGCAAATATCGCCAGGCACTCACAGAGGACTTTGAGGACGCGCTGCTTCAGGCGGCCAGCGCCAAGCATCAGGCGAAGTGAATCAGGATCAACGCTGTCATATACTCAGCTGTGAGTCGTTCCAAGCTGAGCCAATCTGCAGGTCGAGACTGCCCAGGACACGTTTGACGTACACAGTCAGCACTTGCCACCTGCACTTGCTCTTACCTCAGTCAACCTGTCAGGAGGCAAGAGACGACAACCTGGAACGGATTCACAAGCTGCTGGGAGTTACGCCGCCACCTTATTCCCTACACTCTCCACGCAGCTGCAAAGAAACTATGCATGGGTATGAGGATCCAAAAAGAGAAGCTGCTTGATGAGAATCTTCCGCTTGAAGAGGCCGGCATTTGTGATTTCCATAGCATCTAGCAATGTTTTGTTATCTGCCAGGCAGTCCGGCTGAGCAATCCGCTAGTGGAATCAGCGTCAAACTCTCAGTCTCAGAACAGCATGCCTTCTCTTCTTTTCGAAGTTTGATTGTTGCTGACTGTTGCGAAGAATGGCCTTGCCAGGAAAATTGCTGCAAAAACTGCCGAGCAAGTTGCAAATCTCACAGAGGTTCCTGTTTCCTGTGCAAGTTTGCCCCTCGTTTTCCACATGTTATCTGACAATTGCTTGGAGAGGCCGTCCGAAAGACGGACGAGATAATTCTGCGATCCTCGAGAGCTTACTCCAAGGCTCCTGCTCATGGCACTTGACAGCCGAAGAGCTCTTGTCTTGCTGTTTGGCTTGTAACATAACTTGGAAGGTACCATGTTTGGTTGGTCAGAGCCATATTTCATAGAAGCCCTCCTTGTGCTCAGTTTTTCACCAAGCGCAAAATGGAAGAGTAGACAGTGCGAGCGCTTTCCAACTCGATAGTTGCAGGGCCAAGTCATCACATGCACGCTGCGGTCTGAACTGTTTTCTCGGGACCGCTTGCCATTTTTGATCATAGTATTGGACCTTGTAACCACGGGATCCTGACCCAGAGATTCTCGGATCTGTCTGTTTTTGCAGTGTTGAGTCAGCCACATGGCCAGCAAGTCCGCCTTACCGGCTTCTGGCTACGAGCATTGGACATCATCAAGTTTAGTGGATGTTGACATGGCATTCATTGTGGACTGCCTTGCTGTAAGGTCACCAGTTGGAAGCCACAAAGGATAAAGACCAACAGGGTGATCTCATGCTTCCGAATGGCTTCGAATTTGGGCTTGCTTGAAGATGACGAGCTCCTCACTTGGATGGCAGAGACACCTGACTACCTCGCAAAGATCCAGCGCCTGGATGCGGCTTCCCCAGAGCTACCAGATGACAAGGACATCGTCATGACCGAGTCCGCTGGGTGTGAGCCGGAACTGCCTCCTCTGGCAGAGAGCAGCCAAGAAGTTACCTGTTTGCTAGATTAACGGCGGTGGAGGAGGTGCTCGCGGATAGGCAGGCTGGGGTTGGCTTCGCTTTGGCTCCGGCAATTACCTACACGACGAGAGCACGAGCTGCCAGAGAATTCTATGGGCATTGAACCCACAGTGGACTGCTTTGAGGTTCTTTCCCTGTGTAATCCATGCCCGGCATCAATACTACACCTGGGTCGAGCCGGATGTCGAGCTTCTCATGACCTGGATGGATGAGCTGCAGATCGGGCGCCAAGCCCACCATGGCCACCCTCAAGACCTTCGAGGACGAGGTCCGCTCGGATGTGCCATGCTTGACGGTGGTAGACTTGTTTAGTAAGACACATGTCTAGTGGCCGGCAACTTGCCGTGTCTATGGTTGCACTGAGACGGAGATGGGCTTCGTTTGGGGACTGCCCCTCAAGGGAGAGGTTTTGTCTCGTTGCAGCGCTTTGCTCAAGGAAGAGAGGGCCGAGATCCTCAACAATGCGCACCCCGCGAACTTGCAGTTCCACGAGAACACGAACCAGAACATGAGTGGCCTCTTCCACATGAAGGACAAGTTGCAGTTCACGGGCGTCCGCTGTGCGAACATGGTGGAGACCTGGGCCAGATGCTGCGGGTCATTAATGTAGGCCATAGGCCATGCTCTGCGCCAACTTGTGAACCCCAATGATCTCCATCCTGATCTTGCGCCAGACAGAATCCTTCCAGTGAAATTGGGAGACTTCACCTGTTGTTCCAGGGCTGTGGACCAACAAGAATCAGTGAGCTCCTTGCTCCGCAGCTGGGGACGCTGCGCTGTTGGGGTGAAGATGGCGTGCTCGTTAGCTTGCTCGATGGCCCTCTTTGTTCTCCGTGCTTTGGACTCTTTGTCAAAGGTCATCTCTATCGGACCTATATGTCCTCTTCATCGCCGCCAGAAGGCCCGCGCCCTGGCTGATCGCTGCAGCAAGGCCGCGCTGGCTGGAGGCGTGAAAGTCCCATCGATCGGCGCCTCGGCGACCGAGGACTGGTGGCATTCTCATCTGCCCCCCCTTGGCCCACCTCCACATTCGAGATATCCGTACCGCGCAAAAAGAACCAGATAGGAGCCACGAACCCGAATGCAGACACGTGAAAATACATGCAATGATAATGACACGTTACGGGCGAAACCACTTAGGAGACTAGGTCCGGGATCATCTCTCTCCTCTCCTCCTCTCTCTTCTCTCCTCTCCTCTCCTCTCTCCTTTCTTCTATCCACTCTGCTCTTCTCTTCTCTCCTCTCTCCTCTCTTCTCTCCTCTCATCTCTCTTTTCTCCTCTCTCCTCTCTCCTTTCCTCTCTCCAGAGGCGAGTCCAAAAGTGACGACAGTTCTGGGTTTCGCGACCACGACCCCCCCGATCCCTGTGACTGTTGATACTTTTGAGACGCGAAGAGACGAGACGAGTCCAAAAGTGACGACAGTTCTGGGCTTCGCGACCACGACCCCTCCGATCCCTGTGACTGTTCGCACTTTTGAGGCGCGAAGACGCAAGACGAGTCCAACAGTGACGACAGTTCTGGGTTTCGCGACCACGACCCCCGCGATCCCTGTGACTGTTGACACTTTTGAGGCGCGAAGACGCAAGACGAGTCCAAAGGTGAGGACAGTTCTGGGTTTCGCGACCACGACCCCCCCGATCCCTGTGACTGTTGGCACTTTTGAGGCGCGAAGACGCAAGACGAGTCCAGACACTTTTGCAATACGAAAAGTAAAAATTGATGACAGTTCTGCGTTTCGCGACGATTTTCGTCCCTCCGGCATGTCCGACCCTCCGCGGACGCTTGCGAAGGCTTGCGGACGCCTGCGGACGCTCGCGGACGCTTGCAGACGCTTGAAAACGCGTGCGCAAACGCAACGATCTCGCGTCGCCTCCTGGACCCCTGGACCCCAACCTTAAAACGGGAACCCTTCTGCTACGCATTCGGGAATTACAAAGCGTCATGCCCAGCCTGACGGCCGTTGCAATTTCACTTTTCTGGGCCATCTCGCGAACAAGGAGGGCCGAGGTCCGTCCTCAGTGCGCGAAGTCCGTGCGCAGCGGCCTTAAAGACCTCTGCCGGCTCCTGGGTCTCATCCGGCTCATCATAGGCCCGGAAAGCCAACGCAAACAGCAGGCCCCTTCTCCGCCTTGCTGCGCAGGAGAATCGGTGTGGGACAGCCGTCCCCGTCAGCAAGGTGCTGAAGTAGAAGTCTCCAAGTAGGAAGCCAGCGCCGAACTTGGAAGAGACCTCTCAAGCTGGCTCTTCGTGGCACCATACTTATATTTGAAATCCTCCCTGAATGACCTGTAATGCGCCAGACTCAGATTGCCTTGACCAATTCCAGGTGCAGCCTTCCAGCTTAACCGGCAGGATGTCCTTGTTGCGCAGCTGGCACCTCTGGCTCCACAAAGCGCCAAGGGGATGTGCTCAGACCTTGCAGGCGCGCCGAAGCCCCTGCCTTGCCTCTGCGTGATCTGAGCGTAGCAAGCGCAAATGACCGCCCATGTTGATGATGGCGTCCTCAAGGCTGGCCTCCTCATGCGTGGAGAGGGCCTGGAACATGTCCTTGACAATCATC